TGAATGGACTTGAGCTTGTGATCCTCCTGTCTCAGCTTCCCACGGTGCTGGGACTGTGAGCGTGCACCATCATGCCAGGCTCTGGGCCCTGTCCGCTCCGTTTTCCTGGGACCCCACAGACACCGAGACATCTGCTCTTCTCCCTGGATGTGGCACTGGCCCGACCACGCCCAGTGAGCAGTCAGTGCTGAGGCCCTGAACGAAATTCTCACCGGGCAACACTGGCTCAGCTGAATTAGAGGCAGCCAGCGAGGCCGAGCCCTTGTCTCAGCCAGGAATATTCAGGGGACGGCAGGCACTTCTGTTCAGACCTGGAGGTCGCTGGTTCTTTGCTCAGGTCCTTGAGGGAGAAGCATGAGCATCCTGATGCTGGGCTTTCTCTCCTTCACCTTTTGATTTCATCCCCTTTTCCAAAAGCCCCCACTTTGTTAGAGGACCTGGTGACACACTGCTACTGACATGCACTTCTTTCTGACACTCTTTCTCCTTCCTTCCCTCTTTGTCTTTCTCCTCCTCTTCCAACCTGCCTTCCTGTTTTGCGGTAGTGGGGACTGAACATAGGGCCTTCAACTGAGCTACATCCTGAGCCCTTTCTAAAGTTTTCTTGGTTTGAGATGGGTCTTTCTAAGGCCCTAAGTTCCCCAAGCTGGGCTCAACCTTGCAATCCTCCTCCTTCAGCCTCCCAGAGTGCTGGCATTACAGGTGTGTGCCACCATGCCCAGCAGTGGGAAATCTAAAATGAGGCCAACATTTATTATTGCGTGTTTCCCATTCTTAGTCAAGAAATCCAAGTCACATGTCACCCTTGTTCCTTTTCTTTTCCCAGGAATCAACTCAATTACATCACAGAAGAACTCAGAAATCCTTACAGGTAAGAAAGCTGAGCCAGGCAGGAGACAACAGATCCAAAGCATATTTCACTTCTCCCAGGCAAAAGTAGAGCTGCTGCCTCCTATTATTCCATGATTCCATTCCAGGCAGTGAAGTTTTTGTCCTTCCAACCCAGGGCCTCGTGTATGCAAGGCAAGCGCTCTGCCATGGGAGAGAATGGCTCCTTCTAAGCTCGTCATCCACTCTTAGGGTTTGGCTGTGTTTGGGGCAGTGGAATGGTCTCTAAGGGGAAGGAGGAACTCCAACTTCCTTTATCTTCACGTTACTTTCTTTTAAACAATTTGATTCTACTGTCTTAGTGCCCGAGAGGGAAACTTCTCCTTGGAAAATCTCTCTTGCTCCAGCTGGGCTCTGCCATATCGCAGACCCCGCCTAAGTGGCCTGAGGAAGGGCATCTGTGGCCTGGGTCATCACACTGAGAAAGGGGTGTGTGGCAGGGAGGGGAAAGGATGGGATGAAAAGCACACGGGACCCTCTGGTCTGACCCCAGGTTCCCTGTCACCCTCTCTCTCAGAAACCTGCCCCTGGCTATTATCATCGGGATCCCTCTGGTGACAGTGTGCTACATTCTCATGAACATCTCCTACTTCACCGTGATGACCCCAACGGAACTCCTGCAGTCCCCAGCAGTGGCCGTGGTGAGCGTGGAGGGGCCGTGGCCTGCGGGAGGAGGCAAGGGGAGAGTTGGAGAGGGGACGGATCCGGGGAGCTGACGTGAGAGGACTGGGCCTAGGGCAGCTGGGCAGGGGTGGTGGGCTCTTCCTCTCCAGCCCCAGCCCGGGCCCCAGCTGCCTGGGTGCAGGCACAGTGTCTGGCTAGAGGGGGGCTCCAGGAACCAGGGCTGGGGGCTGGCAGGAGGAAGGAGAGGAGGAAAGTGCAAGGAGTGAATTCACATACTGAGGTGTGGATCTAAGCCAAGTGAGGAGGGAAGGCAGACCAGGCAAGCTGGGCAGAGGGGCGCACGCCTATCATCCCAGCTACTTGGCAGGCTGAGGCAGGGGACCACAAGTTCGAGCTCAGCCTGGGCACCTCATGGAGCCCTTATCCCAAAATAACAATAAAAGGGCTGGGTACGTAGCTCAGAGGTAGAGAACCCCTGGATTCAAGTACCCGTGCCAACACACACCCACATAACCTCCCCCCGCCACACACACAAAGGATCACAAGTTTGAGCCCAGCCTAGGCAACTCTTAGTGACTTAGAGAAACCCTATTTCAAAATTTAAAAAAAATTTAAAAGGTCTTCAGATGTAGCTCAGAGAAACTGTTCTAGGTTCAATTCCACTAAAGCAAAAAACAAAAACACACACACAAAAAGGAAAAAAAGGTATTGGGCCCCAAGGACTAGAAAATATGCATGGATTCCACATGCTGGAGGCCTGGTGGAGTTGGGATAGGTCAGAAAATGAGTTAGACAAAGACAGGACATGGTGGGGGCTTAGCAGGAGCAGGACTTGCAGTTTGGTTAATGTCCAGGCCACCAATCACCAGCCTGGGCAGCTAAGGGGAAGGAGAACAAGGTCATTCCGAGCTCAGGTGCTGGCAGGATTGTTCAATACCCAAGAATGAAGCCCAGAAGTGGTGGCTTTGAAGGTTCCTGTCAGCACCAAAAGATCCTAAGCATGCAGAGTGGTGGCACAGGCCTGTATCCCAGCACTCTGCAAGGCTGAGGCCTGAGGAACAAAAGTTCCAGCCCAGCCTGAGCAACTTAGCAAGACACTGTCTCAAAATACAGAATAAAAAAAGGACTGAGGATATAGCTCAGTGTGAAGGCCCTGGGTTCTATCCCCAGTGCTGCCATCGATTGTCCATCAATATAAAATCCTAAGACCCTGAAGAGTTTTTCCACTCTCTGTTCTCCAGCAGGGGCCCCCAGAGGCTGCGCCCAAGGAGGCGGGGTCGGAACCTGGGTTCTCTGGGAGGGCTGAGGAGCTTTTTCGGACCAATGGCTCTTGGAGGTTATAGAAGATCCTCAGGATTCGTTTCCTTGTCCCGCCAGACCTTTGGTGACCGCGTTCTCTATCCAGCCTCTTGGGTCGTCCCACTGTTTGTGGCGTTTTCCACCCTTGGAGCTGCTAACGGGTGCTGTTTTACTGCGGGCAGGTAGGGGACCCCAAAGTCACTCTGTCCCAGGGTGGGCAGGAGGTGGCAAAGCTGATGTCACGGTGAGGAGGCCCTCAGTCCCTGGAACTGCGCCTGATCAAGGGCCTCACGGCCCAACTCGGAGTCCCAGAGTCTAGAGAACATATGTAGCCCTGACTCAAAAGGCAGACTGGCAAGGGAAGCGAGAACAAGGCTCCCCGCAACCTCAGCGCAGCCACTGTGGCAGAGCCAAGCTTGCTAACTATGGGGGAAACAGTGCTCAGCACAGGGCAGAGGGAGGCGACAGGGGCGAAATGAGCTTTGGTTTCTGCATGGCACCTTTCAAGCTGCATTGCTTTACCTACTGCGATTCCCAAACATCTTCTCAGGTTACTACATATACAGACTGGACCAGACTTTCCCTTAAATGGCCAAAGCTGAATATTCTAGGCCACAGGTATGCTGGTCTCTGTCATAATTCCTCAACTCTGCCTCACTTTCCCGAATGCTGGGATCACAAGCCTGTACCACCACATTTGGATTATTTTTAATTAAAAGATAATAACAGCATATAGAGAAATAAGATCATATGGTATTTGTCATTTTGTGCTTTGCTTATTTCACTTAGCGTAATATTTTTTATTTAATTACTTTTTATAATTTTTTGGTTTTTTGAGACAAGGCCTTGATATGTAGCCCAGACTGCCTTGAACTCATGACAGCCCTCCTGCCTCAGCCTCCTGAGTGCTGAGATTACAGCTAGGCACTGCCACTCCTGGCTTGACATACTGATTTTAATTCCTTTCAGCATATACCTAGAAGTGGGATTGTTGGTCACACGGTAATTCTGTTTTTAGTTTGTTGAGGAAGGTATGTTGTCTTGTAAAATGGGCATACTGATGTGCCTACCAGCAGGTACCAGAGCTCCCTGTTCTCCACATCGTCACCAACTCTTAGCTTTCATTTTTTGAAGATGTCACCTCACTGCATTTTTTGTTTGCATTTCCCTGATGCTGTTGAGCGTCCTTTCATGTGTCTGTTGGCCTCTGCATGTCTCCTTTTGAGAAATGATTGTGCAGGTCCTTGTGATTGACTGAGTCCATTACATATTTGGAGACCAGCCCCTTATTCGATGCATGACTTATGAATGTTTCTCTGTGTCAGTGGGTTGTCTCTTCACTGTGGGTTTCCTTTGCTATGCAGAAGCATTCCAATTTGATGTAGCCCCATTTGTCTATTTTTACATTTGCTGTATGTACATTGGGGGTCATATGCAAAAAATCATTGCTGTGGCCAGGTGTGGTGGTGCACACCTGTAATCCCAGCACTCGGGAGGCCAAGGCAGGAGGATCACCACAAGTTAGGGTCCGGCTTGGGCTCCATAGTGAATTCAAGGCCAGTCTGGACTACAAGGCGAGCCCCTGTCTCAAATAAAACAAAATAAAACCAAACCCCAAAGCAAAACAAAACAATAAAACCAACAAAATCATTGCTGATTGTAGTTTTTCCTCTGTTCTAGTAGTTCGATTTTTTTTCTATAGTGGACATTTTTTTTTTTTTGGTGGTACCAAGGATTGAACTCAGGACCTTGTGCCTGTGAGGGAGGCGTGGTGCCACTGAGCTAAATCCCTGACCCCCTATAGTGGGCACTTTCAAAAGTTTCCAGTGAGGAATGGAGAGTAAATGTCTCATAGCCCACCTAAAACTGTACTTACTTTCCCAGGAGTCTTACTGCTAGATTAGCAACGTAGAATTCCAGCCTGAAACTTCCCCTGATCACTCTGAGAATATTATTTCTCATGAAATGTCTGCTGTTGTTCTCCTCATCCCAATTCTGTAAACTCAAACTCAGTAGCCCTTCAGATTTTCTTTTTTTCCTTCCCACTATAATGTTTACAGCTGAGTATGCTTTGTCTCCTGTAGAATGAGGTAGTTTGAGGCACACAGTGTTTTTTTTAATTTTGGGAAAGTTCTCTGCTGTCTGTGCTGTTCCCTGATGTTTGGGCTTCGCGTCTTCTCTCATTTCCCATCTGCATTTCCATCTCTCCAGGCTTCATGCTTAGCTCTGGCTTCCAACTCTTTCACTTCTATCTAATTAAATTCCTAATTATGGTTACATTTTTTCTTTTAAGGAATCCTATTTAGCTCTTTCCCCCATTAATGTTTTAAACATAGTCTTTCAGATAACTGAACTGTCAGGAGTTTTGGGGGGGAAGTTGGACTTGTTTGTGTTTGCTAATTCATCCTTCATATGCTTTTATTTATTTTGGAGACAGGGTCTTGCTATGTACTTCAAGTTGTCCTTGGACTCACTATGTGGCCCTGGCCAACCTCCTCAGACCTTAACCTCCGAGGTGATGAGATTACAGATGCACATACCATGCCCAGCTTTATTTTAATATATTTTTAATATATATTTTTTATTATTTAATGTATTTTTGATATATTTTTAAAATATATTTTTTAATATACTGGCATTGGGAATTGAACCTAGGGCCTCCATACTGCACTATACCTCTAGATCTCCAGTCTTTTTCATTTGTTTTTTTTTTTTCCAGACAACTTTCACTAAGTTGCTAAGTTGCCCAGGCTGGGCTTGAGCTTGCCATCCTCCTGCCTCAGCCACGAGGCTGGGCCCAAATATGGGAATTCTATAGGCTTGGATTTTCCAAGCTAATGAATGTCTGTGTTTGCTTCTGTCAAGTGCCCAAGGAACTGGGGTCCATTAGCCTTGGGCCAATTTTTACATTTTTTTTTAAGTAAAACATTTATTGGTATATTTCAGATATACACAATAATAACATTCATCATAGGGAATTTGTCCCTGTACATGATGTATCTTGCTTCTTTTTTTCCCCATTCCATCCCCTCTTTTCCACCTCTCTTCCCCTCATTTACAAAACCTTTGTTTCCATTTTTTCCTTCTACTCTTTCTTTTTTTTCTTGCCTCTTCTTTCCTTTCTTCCTCCCCTCCCTTGTTCCCCTTCTTATCTAAACATTTTCTTTCCATTTCTCAGTATCTATTATACATTTTAGTTCTTATTTCCACTTTCAGTTTCTCACACCAGAGAAACAATGCAGTATTCAAACATGTGTGTCCAATTTATTTCACTTAAGAGTATGGTCTCAAGTTGCATCCATTTAGCTAGAAATGTCTTGACTTTATCCTTCTTTGTTGCAGAGGAGTACTCCATTGTATAAGAAAAAACCCCCACAACTTTATTCATTCATCCATTGATGGACATTTGGGCTTTTTCCAAAATACGGCTATTACAAACTGTACTGCTATAAACGTGGGTGTGCATATATCACTGTGGTATGATTCTTTTAATTCTTTTAGGAAGACATCAAGAAGGGGAATAGCTGGGTTGAATGGAACCTCTAGTTTTAGCTTTTGGAGAAATCTCCACACTGATTTCCACAAGTGTTGCTCCAGTCTACACTCCCACCAACAGTGGAGAAGGGTTCCTTTTCCCCCACAGCCCCTCCAGCATTTGTTATTGGATGATTTCCTGATAACAGCCATTCTTTCTGGAGTGAGATGGAATCTCAGCGTTGTTTCAATTTGTCTCTCTTGAATGACCAGTGATGTTGAACATTTTTTCATGGATTTATTTGCTGTTTCTACGTCTTCATCCGAGAAGTGTCTGTTCATCTCAGATGCCCATTTTCTGATTGGGTCTTTAAATGTGTGTGTGGGGTCTGATTGTTTTGAGTTTTTTATGTATTTTAGATAGTAGTCCCTTGTTTGAGGAATAGCTGGCAAAATTTTTTTTGAGTCAAGGTTTCACTATTTCGTTCAGGCTGACCTTGAACTCACTATGTAGCCCAGGTTGGCCTCAAACTTGCAGTGATCCTCCTGCCTCAGCCTCCTGAATGCTGGGATTACAGGCATTTGCTACTATGACTGGCTACATTAGTTTCTTACATAACTGTAGAACTCAAAACTGCTATTATTACTGAAATGAGTTTTGATTTATTTTTTATTCATACATGTTTAGAGTACATGATTACATTTATTAGGGGGAGTTGATACATGTACAGGACACAACATATATTAATTCTTTTAAAAATGCTTTCCACTCCCCTTATTACTGGAGTTTTAAAGCAAAAGCCATAGCTCACAGGTTTCCAACAGACTAGGCTGGGCCACCTGCCTCATCACATCAGTCAAGGAGACCAGCAGTGGTGAAGGGGAGGAAGGAGGCTTTAATCAGCATGGCCATGCTGGGAAGCACAGTCATTGAGGGGCTGAGAGAAGCTGGGGTTTTATAGGAAAGGGGAACAAAGGCAAGGGTTGGGGGTTGCATAGCTGGCAGCTTAGGTGATCCCTGTCAAGTCGTGGTCTGGTTGGTGGCATCTCAGGATGGTTTCTGTGAGGTCCCGGGAGCTAGCATCACTTGAGGGAGCAATTCAGTTCCCATCATGAGATGACAGATTGTGTTTGGGAGGCAGCTGCAGTTCTTATCATGGGGTGGCTGCTCCTGCTTATGGGGTGACCTCCTCATGGGGTGGCCTGTGAGGCTCTGCTTTTCCTGGAGTCCAAGGTGCCTGCAGGTTTAGGACAGTGACTCAGAACTTCTAGGCATCACCCCAGAGCGTCTGAGCTGAATGTTTTAAAAACTGGCAATTAGATGTCCCTGCAACATTGTCTTAGGTACTTGGTCTTGGTGTCCTCAGTCTTGAAGGGGGATGGGACAGGTTAGGTAACTTTAGGGTTACTAGACCTTGTAACGCAGGCATTCCCTGAGTGGTTAGCATGCCTGTGTGCAGAGCTGAGCTGGGATCTGACCCAAAGTTTTTAGGTAATAAAATGAAGGCAGAGATGTCAAGCTTCACCTTGTTCTTAGTTACTCATTGGGAACCTGCAGGCCCAGCCTGTAGATCCTTGTAACAGTAATGGCTCTCTTTTTTTTTTTTTTTTTTTGGTACTGGGGATCGAACTCAGGACCTTGAGCTTGAGAGGCCAGCAGCAGAACCACTGAGCTAAATCCCTGGCCCTGTAATGCCTCTTAAAGAGTCCTCCCTGGGCCATGTTCATCTGTCGCTGCCTCAGTGACCCCACTGTACCAGGATGCACCTAACCCCCTCAGTCTTCCAAAACTCACACCTCTTCAGGGGACAGAGCCAGTCACCACTCAACTGTTTCCTCTGTGACCTTGGTGAAATTCAGCACACACTTCCTCGGCACCTCCGTGTGATTTCTTCTTTCAGAATCATTTACGTCGCAGGCCGAGAAGGGCACATGCTAAAGGTGCTCTCTTACATCAGTGTCAGGCGCCTCACGCCCGCCCCTGCCATCATCTTCTTTGTAAGTATGAAGCACATCATCACACCTGTCCCACACCCAGAGGACCCTCAGTTCCAGAATGAAACAGACCTCCCCTGCTAACACTTCTCCCAGTGGTTTTCAAAGTGTTACCAGGTGTTGTAACCAGTGGTCCTGTCCAGGCTCGTATTATCCTCCTCAAAGAACTGGACGGAACAAAGAACACAAATGTTTAACATTGATTGAAGGTAGGATCAAAGGTAGGAAAAGAAGGAAAGAGAAGTGCGCTCTGCAGAGCGAGGGTGGGCCAGTTCATGTAGGAAAAGTAAGCTGAGCAGAGTGGAGGGTAGAGGGTGAGAACACTCAGAGTCGCCACGAGATTAATGGCCACTGTCTTTTATACCCACTGCGGATAGCAGGGCCATCCCATGAAGGGCTCTGCACATGCATCCAGGCCTTGACAGACAGCTCTCTGTGACTGACGGGTCACACCTGATTGTCCAGGCTCATATCCATGCCCTAATCCCTTACCTCAAAAGGATCCAGGTTCCCTTATTCCTTGACATGAAAAAAAATTCCCAGGATAATTCAACTTATCTCATTTCTGTTCCTGTTTCGGAATGTACCCACCAAAGATACTGTTTGAATCCCCCAAACTGGCACCATGCTACTTTTCATGTATGTTCATTTGTTTGTTCTGGGCGCCTGGTAACAAGGTAAATGGAAGCCCTCTAGCACATGGGAAGGAGAACAAGGCACTTTACAAGGTGCTGCTAACCGCAGTCTCTCATTACGGTCTACTAACTTGCTTGTCCTGAGAGCCTCTGCATCTCTAATGGGAGATTCTCACTGGTAGATCGTCTAGGTCAGGTGCAACAGTTCTGGGCACACAGACACCTTCCACATTCCTAGCTCAGGCCAGTCCACCGCCTGCCAGCTCCAGAGGAGAACAGGTCTCTCTTCCACCTGCACACTCTGAAGATGGGGAACCTCAGCCAGAGAACAGGGACACAAGTCAAGGCCCAGGTGACTAACGCAGTCAAGATCAGACCCGGGTTTCCTGGTCTAGGGCTCTTGCCCATGATGAAGACTCCTGGAAGTTAAATCCATCATCATGAAGCTGGTACAAAATATATACAGAGTTTATCTATTTTTTCCTTGCTTAAAGTCATAACTTCAAAGACTCAAAAATTATTCAAGTTCTTCCTTCCAGGCTTCAGAGAGAACAGTTATCATAGCCAAGGTCACATTCAAACCAACTGCAATGGGATACATGGGAAGTTTCTTTCATGCTGATCTGTTTATCCAGAGGAAAAACTGCTTCTTCAGACTTCTATGAGGTGATAAGAGTAATGTTTTTATGCACTAATGACTTGGGAATTTGTTCTTCTTTCTATCAGGGCCTAATAGCAATGATTTATATCATCCCTGGTGACATAAACACCTTGGTCAATTATTTCAGTTTTGCTACATGGTTATTTTATGGGATGACGATTATAGGACTTGTTGTGATGAGGTTTACGAAGAAAAACCAGGAAAGGCCTATCAAGGTAAGTGTCATACCCAAATGTCACAAGCAGCTCTGGTGACTAGACTGAAGAAAAGCTTGTTTCTTCCTACCTGACTCTACTCTGTTCTTGAGTATCGTCCTTTAGACAGGAGTTTATTCTGCACTTCATATAATAGCTTATGATCTAATTAACCACATAGTCATTCATTTTACTTGGCTATCATTTTACTAAGCTATCAGGGATAGCTGTGACACTTTCCATACACTGCTGGGGTCTTCTGAACCCTGGCCCTTGGCCCCTTCCTGTCCAAATTCACAACATACTTTTAGCTCCTTCCCACTCCCTGAAAGGCTGCAAAGATCTGTGTACCAATGAAGATGAAGCAGAATTTATTTGGTTTTTCTATGTTAAGGACTGAAAAAAACACAAACCACCGTGCTATTTAATTCTTAGGGTAACAGACCACAGATAGAAGAAAAAAATAGGCAAATGAACAGGACAAGAATAAGGATACTGTCTTTCAATTTAGGACACTCAGGGACCTTGCACTGAGCTACATCCTCAGTCCTTTTTTTAAGTATTATGAGACAGGGTCTCACTAAGTTCTAAATGTCCCAGGCTGGGCTCGGGCTTGTGATCCTCCTGCCTCAGCCTCCCAGAGTATTGGAATTATGGGTATGTACCACGAGACCTGGCTTAGCTTTAGGCCTTTGTTTCAGAAATCTGTCTAGTGGTCTACCTTACATTGTCACTGGACCTCCATCATGTCTCTGGAGTCAGCTGAGACATGGGGCAGCTTACCTGGACCTAGGCAGTGTCCCGTTACTCAGTTCACCCAACAGGCAAGACTGTGGTGGCAGTATAGGTTTTTCATTCCCACAACCCTCCCCCTGCCCCGTAAACCCAGGCAGAATCACTAAGAGAGCAAAGGGAAAACCCCACAGCCAATACAAAAGGAAATGAGGTATTGCCACAAACCCCAGACTGCATGGAAGTGCCACAAGCCACAACGGAGGGTCCACTGGTGGGGTTCCCAGAAGGAGACCTGAGGCCCCACCAGCTGAAGGAAGAAGCAGGGCTGGCTCAGTCCTCAAGGATCCTGCAAGTTCCCACAAAAGCTCCTTTCTGGTATGGAAACATTTCCAGAATCATGAGATTATAATAAATGCTGGGCACAGAAACCACACCAAACATGGCAAGCACATCGGGGCCCAGCAAGTGGCGCCTGGGGACATGCATCTCCCCACTGGGGAGGGGGCCGCACAGGGAGGCCATGTCACGTTCACAACATTTCAGGAAACAAAATCATTTCAGAAGAATAAGCAAAAAGGAACATGAGCAAAGAAGCATTCCAGGAAAGAGGACTGGAACATGCAAACAGAAACAAAAGAGGTTTGAGAGGAAATCAGTAAAGGAGACAGAAAAAAGGTGGTTGTAGTACATGTAAAGTTGGAGTCCCTGAAGAAGAAGAGAATGAAATAAATTCTAGAGAATTTTAAAAATTGTAATTCAATAACTATTTTCTTTTTTTTTTTTCGTGCCTGGGATCGAACTTGGGTCCTTGCGCTTGTGCAGCAGGCAGCGAAACCACTAAGCTAAATCCCTGGCGCAATAACTTTTCTGAGATAGAAGGAATGACTGGAGGGAGGACTCTACCATCCCACCAACACAGTGAAAGGCATGCAGTACAACTGGCAAATAGGCAACAAAAATATAGTCTGACAGAATTATGTGGATCCATTCCCCTTTTCTCGTTCCCAACTCCACCCCCAATTCACTTAAAAAAAAAAATACTAGCATCAGACCTTGTGTTATCAATATTTCATGCCAGAAGACAACAGAGTAATATATTTCAGATACTCAAAAGAAAGAAAATGTTAGCTAATGGTTTTATATCCAGCCAAACTGACCTTGAACAGTACAGTTAACAGAATGAAATGTCTCAAGATACATACTATTATATGTGCTCCTCCTGAGGAATTGGCTGGAGAATGAACTTCAGAAACAATAGAGTCATTGGCATAAGGTAAGTCTATTTAACTACAGAGCTAAGAGTAAATGATGGGATGTAAAAGTGACAGAATGGTGTGCCATTATTATGCAACAAGTATGGAAATAAAATATACGAAATGTTTGTGCCAATTTAGGCCAAACAAACTCTCAGTTAAGGATATCAAGCTGAGCATGGTGGCCCATGCCTATAATCCTAGCACTCTGGGAGCCACAGACTGGAGGATTTCAACTTAGTGAGACTCTGTCTCAAAAAGTAAAGGGCTGGGATGTAGCTCAGTGTGAAGGCCCTAGGTTCAGTAGTAGTAACACACACACAAACAACAGTTTACTTTTAATATGTGTCAGCTTATGTTATTTATATATATATTTACTATGTTTTAGCTATAATTGAGAATACTGGTTGGGAAGTTGAGATTTCAAATAATGCATGATATTTTTCCCAGTTAAAGTAAGAGAAATAGGTTCCTAGGAGTGTTTTTCCACAGAATGTCACTCTTTGAGGGCACACGACTGACAGTAAGGAGACATTTATGTGTAGAAATCTAACATAAAACAACATGAGAGAATGGAGACCAAACTTATCAACTGTATGAATAAACTGATTTACCTGTCTTAAATCAGCCACTTCAAGCAAAAGATTATCCAGGCAGATCTACAAAGCTTGCAAAATTAAAAACAAAGGACACACAAAGAATTATCAGGTAAGTGAAAAAACAGAAAACAGGACCAGACCAGCATCCAGGCCCAAAGCACAACTTCTAAAGACAAAGTAAAGTGAAAGCTAAAGTTCACAGGGAAGAGAGAAGTTATGAAACCTCTACATCGTACCACACAGCAACCATATTTACAAAGCAGAAACCATATACAAGGAGAAACACATACACTAACCGCAGCTGGCTTGAAAACGCCTCCTCCAACACCTCTGTGTAAAACTGACTGAAGATCTATGAACTATCACAGGGCAGATCTTAGAGATTTCTGTCACGGTCTGCCCGACATCAGCAGACACACTTCAGGCGCACCGAGGATGTGTTTGGAAACTGACAGTCCTTCATGGCATAAAGAAAACCTGGTACTTCAAAAAAATTATAAATCATACAAATTACATTTTCTACAATGGAACGAAACTGAGAATAATTTTAAAATATACTTTTGGGTTCAAGAGGAAATAGGAAATGAAAGTATATAAATTCCTAAAAATTAACAATAATGAAAACAAGACATATATTCTAAGAACATAAGTTTTGACATTTCATTTCATTAAAGGTTTATATTAAAGAAAATTAAAGAGATAGAAAACAACCAATCTAAAAAACAAGAGAGAGAACAACAAAGTGTAGGAGGAATTAATAAACTTAAAAGAGCTTAAGATCTTAGAAAAGAGAAAAGCAAAAATGAATGATGAATAATAGCAGTCAGACTGACATTCTGAAAGTTTTCCTTTTTAAATGCTCTAGAAGAAAATACTAGGATTATGTGAATTTTAGAATTTCCCCATGATATTCTAATTCTGCTGAGATCAGTCTTAGCAAATTTTATTTTCTTAGGAAATTGATATTTTATCTAGGTGTTCAAATTTATTTGTATGGAGTTGTCCATAATAGTCTTAGGATATATTTTTTTAAAAACCTTCCTATGTTTGAAGTTTATGTCTCTAATTTGTGTGTTTTCTCTCCTTCTTTACATTTTAAAATAATTTATTTTCAAATTATCTGTACAGAAAAATAACATTAATACCAAGCCTTATAGAGACAGCATATAAAAGGAAACATTCACCAATCTCACTTATGAATAAAAATATAATAACTGGAATCCAGTTACATTAAAAACATAATATATCACTAGTAAGTCCAGTCTATGTAAGGGTGGCTAAAGATCATAAAGTCCATTAATCTAATTTATGGATGGGTATAAGTCACCACACTGACATATCTTTGGAGAAACTTCCGTGATCACCATAGATGAAAAATATAATTCAACACACATAAATGATAAAGACATCAACAGGAATTTATAGTGGCCTTAATATGCCCCCCCTCTTCTTTTGGGGTAATATAATTATATATCTGGAAAACCTAAAAGGATCAAAGAAAAAAACTACAAGAAAATACAGCAAAGTAGCAATATATAAAGTTAGCACACTGAAATCTAAAGCATTTATGGAAGTGATTGCTAGTGGAAAGATAACTGAGTATCTCATTCTCCAAAGCAAAATACAAAAACAAATAAAACTACTGCTTAGCTTCATAGGAGATAGGTCCCTAGCTGGAAAGCTATAAAATACTCCTGTAGGATCTAAAAGGTAAACTTGGACAGGTGGAAATTCATACATGTTTTTGGACAGGAAAACTCAATGTCATGAAGATATCAGGATTCCCTAATTTATACACTTAATGTAATCACAGTAAAAAAAACACCATGCTTTTTCCCTTTGGAGCTGCATGAGTTAATTACTAAATTCACACAAGCAAGAATATGAAGGAAAACTCTAGAATATGACAGCACTATTCAAAATTTAAATATAGCACTGAAGCATGGAGAAAACAAATTCTTTTTAAATTCATGAACTAGAAACTGTCCTACAACCTAAAATCCAGAAGTAATAAGGAAAAAAACTGATAAATACCCCCTAATAAACCAAAAATTCCTGCTCTGCTTTTGAAAAAGAAAGTTAGAAACACACACATGTAAAAGGGAAATATTTGCAAGTAATATCAGACACAGAAAAAGGCTAACATACTTAAAGAGCCTAAGTTCACTACCCAGAACTGGAAAGAAAAAACAGAAAGCGGAGAAAAGAAAAAACAGAAAATGGAAGCAAGAAAAATAAAACAGTATACTAAAGACCAAAATAAGCAAATAAAGGAAAAAATGAATTCCTAAAAATGAAATACAAATGGAAAAAAAATCTTACTCTATAATCACCATGTAACATAATGACACAAAGAAAATAATTACTAGAACTGATATTAAAGCATAGTATTTTAATTGAATCTCCACGTGGGTTATGTTTTGAGGGTGAAAAGAACTACAAAAGAAATCTTAACATCATGGTACTATTCATAATAGTAGTAGTGGTATAGTCACTTTGAAATTTATTATAGACACATTACAGGATAAAGAAAATAAACAATTATGTTAAGCTATCGAGAGACAAGATTTATAAAAGCATAATAAAAAAAGATACAGGTCTAAAGTACAGTAATGGAAGAAAAAAATGCTCATGTAATTTTATATTTATACTAAAGTATCAGTATGAATTCATGATTTTTTTGCCCTCCTAAGAAGCTTATTTATCGCTGTCCTTCTAAAAGAACAATGAATATTTCACTTACCCAGAATAACATCTTTACATCCCATTTCTCATGAAAGGGATATGAAGTTCCCTGGAGAGATGAGTGAATCCAGGTCTGGAACATCCTGTCACACAAAGCAGAAAAGCTGCCTAAGACCACTGGGGTCACACCAAAGGGCCAAAGCCAATTTCATGGGGATCCTGCTGGTATTGATAGGACATTCTGAATATCAGCAAAAATGACTACAAAGGGCTGAAACCCACAAATACATAACAACACGTGAGTTTGAGTCACCACTGGAGGTTTCAGGGAACCAACTCATCACTGTGAAAACTAAGAAATAAAAGAATCAAGTATTCATCATGCCTTTCCTATACAAACTGCAGTTTAGAATAACAGCTGAAGTTCTTTACTGTAGAACTTCAAATAATTAAATCCAGAATACAGAATTAGAAAACTGACATTTTACAACCACTGATGAAATAACCAAGGCAATGATCAGTGGAGGCTGAAACCACTAAATATTTAGCTTTAGTTTTAAACCATGATCGCCACTGTGGGGGCAGTTACAATGGAGACCTGCCCAGGTCTCAGCAATTCAGATGTGGGAAAATCTGACATTAAGAGTCCCATCCATGTGACACACAACGATGTACACTGCTCCGACTACCAAGCATTATGCCTCTCTCTCTCTCACTACTCATCTACAGGAAAGACAGGACAAAGTTAAATGACATGCAAAGGAAGCAATCATGCAAAACTAGCATAAGATGCTAGAGAGAACAAACTATCCAGTTTCTCCAACAAATAAGCAATATATTAGTCACTTTCTTCTTCAGTGAGACACAATACCTGACACCTGCAACTTAGAGAAGGGGAACTTTATTTCAGCTCAGTTTAGTTAATACTTAGCTGGCTCCAAGGTAGGATAGCATGGCAGAGGGGCATGGTGGAAGGAAAGCTGTTCACCTCATGCCATTCAGGAAGCAGAGAGATACTCAGGGGAGGAGCCAGGAAGGAGTTAGAATCCTGTGTTTCATCCACAATGACTCCCTTTTCAACCAGCCACTTTTAACAGCAAGTATGTTATAATATACCCATAACCCATCACCTTTTAAAGGTCCTGCCTATGATTCCATGAGGATTTAGGGGGACAATAAAACACCACTGAGGCCAAACCATGACCCCTGTTTGCTGTCTTCTTTGCAGGTGCCTATTTTCATCCCCGTCTTGGTGATTCTCCTATCTGTGTTTTTGGTTCTGGCGCCGATCATCAGCAAGCCTGCCTGGGAATATCTCTACTGTGTGTTGTTTATACTGAGCGGCCTTATATTTTACTTCCTTTTTGTCTACTGCAAGTTTGGATGGGCTCAGAAAATCTCAAGTAAGTATCACCAGAAGGCTTCTTGATATTAGAAAAGGTCAGGCAGCCTAGCAAACCACCACCTTACCTCTCCTCATCCTGCAAATACCCTCATCACAGGATCCAGCAGATGTCACCCCAGGACATGTGACCTTCTCCCCCACTGCCGTGCCTCTGGGTTCAACCCTGGAGGAGGGGGGTCACTGGGTTGAGACTGGGTCTCACGGAGTTGTCCAAGCTGGCCCTGAATTCTTTTTTTTTTAGAACTTTATTTTATTTTCTTTCCTGTTAAATTTATTGCTACATTTATATAAAATATAGTTATATTCATCATTGGGAGGCCCTGAATTCTTGATCCTACTGCCTGAGCCTCCACAGTGTGGAATTACAGACAGGCACCACCATACGTGGCTTTCATTCCTGCTAATGACTGTAACAAGTAGGAAGGAAAAGGACTATTTTCTTTTTAATTGTTAAATACACTTAACACAAAATTTCCTTCTCAATGTTGAGTGGATGGCTTAGTAGTATGGAGTATATTCTCATCCCCAGAGCACCGTTTTCTCCTGACAGCTATGGAGACATCATCGAAGAGGCTCCCAAAGACCCCAAAGTGGGCAAGTTGGCACTGGGGGCAACTGGGAGAAGGGCCTGAGCCTTCCTGCACTGAGGCCATAGGTGTCACTCTTCATTCTGCAGTCCTGACCCTCATCTATCTTAGGACAAATGTTTACTAATTGAGCCACGTTAGCCTCTTTCCTTCTAAAAAGAAGCACTATGCCAAAGTCTATGAAAAGAGAGGCTGAACTGTAACGATATTTAAAAGCTGGTAGCAGTATTATATTCACAACATTTTGCCTCCTACAACAGCTTAGTTTCGGGAAACCTTCAGGGCTCCTGAGGAGGCTCACCAGGGAGTGAGGCGGTCAGTGGCCCATTTTGTCTCTGCTCTGAATGCCTTGAACTGGGGCGGTGCACAATTTCATCCTGGATCCAGCACTGTGCCCGGCACACTCCAGCTACTGGATATTTCTTTTGTTAACTGTGATGAGAAACTTAGCTCTTCCTTGCTCCTGTCGGCCTATCTGGCCAGGAAAGTAAATCCTGCTGGCCCTATGAGGTTTTTATTTATGTACCTGCAACTTGGAAAATGAAAATAATCAGCCATCCATCCATCATTTACATAAAACTTACAGAGGTATGGAAGAGCAACACCCAACTAGAAGGCAGGAAAGTAGACGTGGGACTCAGGTGCAGCCGAAAGTGGCTGAGCTTGTCTGTCCTCAGAGCCTTTCCCCTGTCTGCTCAGCTGGGGAGTCAGGGACCATCGCTTACCTGACAGTGGTGCTAGAGGCGAGAGGGAGAATTCATTTTCTGTAATTAGCAAAGTGAAAACAACGCATGACACGAGTGTCATTTCCATCAGGACTTTTTCCTTCCCCACGTAGTTCCTTTTACCCCCAACCTCTTTGCTCTTAACCTAAGCTGATGGGCTACAGGCACACAGCTATAGAAAGGAAAGAAAATTAGTGAAACGCCCCCGCCCTGAGCCTCAGAAATGCACTTGGATTTGATCAGATTGACAGAGAGCCTAAGCAGGACGACTTGCAACCTCATGGTACAAAATGTGGTTTGCTTCTTGGCTGTTCCCTCCAAAAACTGATAAGCAGTTGGGTCAAGGTAGTGGAAAAAAACCAATCTGTATTTGAAACAAAACCCGTCTCAGTGACTTAAGACTAGTCACCACTTGGTCAGTGGTAGTAAACACACCTGCATAAATGAGTCACTCATAGTCTCCTACTGGGTAAATTGTTGAGGGGGAGTAATATTTAGGAAAGAACTGAATCCCGAAGAAGCAGTGCAGCTAGTAGGATAGTTCTGATTCACTTTAAACACCAGATATCCTGAGTATAGGGTCTAAGAGGGACATATTACCACAGGGTAAGAATAATATCACTGCTCACCAACAAGCACAGTGAGGCCTCTCAGCTACATTTTTCTAACTTTCATGACTTGCTGACTTGTGTTCCAGAGCCAGTTACCATGTACCTACAGATGCTGATGGAAATCGTCCCACCGGAGAAAGATCTGGATTAACAAATGCATCTCTTGTAGCTCAGTCAAAGCTGTGATGAATTTATTTTTGTAAGCAGTATTTGTGATTCTTTCTTCTTTTTCTTATGAAAAGTGTTCCAGTGTTTATGTAATATCTTTAGATAACCTTAATTCTATGGGAGGGGTTCTATAGGAGAAGTGATAGGTGTGTGTTAGTTATCAAGAGAAGAGTCACCTAACAGAAGGCTGCTGGCAGGTTGCATAAAACCACCACCATTCTGGTGACAACTATTTAATGAGGGCACATCACACTGAAACACAGAGCAGGACTTGGGGTGTTGCTCAGTGGCAGAGCATTTGCTTAGCATATGCAAGGCACTGGATTCCAGCACCAGCACTGCAAGTAAATAAGTTAAATGAAATTAAAAATAAAAGATATTCCTTAAACTCAGTGATCAATAAAGTCTACTCTTTTACATAAATCAGGTAATACTTTCACTGTGATTGATATTTATTAGTGCCAATTGTTTTTAAAAGATTTTTTAAAGTACGTTTTACTCTGACTCCCTACCTCAAAAGCACTGCTGCCTCTGTGATTTACCTGCGATGTACACCGCAGGTCAGTGCCAGGCTGCCTAACAAGACCCTCACTGCCAAGCTCCTCACCCCTCTAGGACTACTGGAAGCCTGCGTGACAAGGGTCAGCTTCATCACAGGTCACACCACCTGCTCCCACCAGCTTTCACTGGTATTTTGGTCACCAGAAAGCATAGTGAATAAAATTTTACTTTGCATCTGGCATTCAGGGAAAATATTGTTTAAAAAATGTAAACAGTAACATTTCTGGGGGAAACGTTGAAATTTTATTGATGAGACACTGCAAGCAAAAGTCATTCACATCAAAACAGAGCAATGACCAATTTTGGAAGCATAAACACTAAAGTGCTTTTACTTTGCATTTCAGAAATTTACCCAGACTTGAACCCGTATGTTTTAATAGCAGTACAGAAAAACAATTAGTAACTGTTGACATAGTCGGCATTCCACTTCCTACAAAATACTATTCAGAATTTTAAATATTAGAAAATTCGAGTGTCTGAAAAAGAAGCTGAGATTGAAACCCATAGCCCTCCTGCCCCAGTATTTTCAGTGTCTGTCAGTGGACCGCAAGAGTCTGCACTGTGTCTTCTCCCAGGCAGGTGCCACTGCCGCCTGCACTGGAAGCAGGCTTGTGCTCTCTAGGACGCGCCACTGCTATTCCTAAGAGACTCAGCACAGCAAGCTGCTGCCCACAGGACAG